TCAGTTGTACATGTCTTTGGCAATAATAGTCCATAGTTTTATATAATACTCAAAGGGACTAAGGAATGTATTGCTCCCAAGACTTCTGCCCTTCTTAATTTTTTATTGATAATGTGAAAATGTCATATATTCTTACATGCAGGGCAGGGCAGGGCAGGAAGAAGCTATTGTATCAATTAACTTTCAGTACCCATTTCTCATGCTATCCCGGCAGTACCTGAAACAAGATAATGATAGGTAATGATTTACCTATTTAAACTACTTGGTCCTGCTTTTTTGTGTGAAGCTGTCTTTTCAGCACTTCTGTTGCAGAGCAGATGCTTTTCTGTTCAGTATTTTTCATTCAGTAAACTTTATATTTACCTGCCCGTATATTATCCCAACTAAGGACTTAAAATGGCTTAACTGTTTCATTTCCCTTCTTCCTTATAACTGTTTTATGTGCACACCTGAAATTTGCCTGCTTTCTATTTGATTCTTTTAAATAAAGCAGCACACAATCAAAATAATTTGTTTCATTTTCTGTTGATGTTCATTATCTAGTAAAGCTACATTGGCAGCCAAAATTTGATGAAGTGGATTAAAGCAGGGGTGAAATCCAGCAGGTTCTGACAGGTTCTAGAGAATCAATAGTGGAAATTTTGAGCAGTTCAGAGAACCAATAGCAGACATTTTGAGTAATTTGGAGAACCAGCAAATACCACCTCTGACTGGCCCTAGGAATGGGGAGTGAGTGGGGATTTTGCAGTATCTTTCCCCTGGAGTGGAGTGGGAATGGAGATTTTGCAGTATCCTTCCCCTGCCATGCCCACCAAGCCACGGCCACAGAACCGGTAGTAAAAAAATTTGGATTTCACCACTGGGTTAAAGACACCAGACTTGAAACTGGAAAGCTATGATTTCTAGTCTTGTTTAGACTCAAAGCCAATTGGATGACCTTGGGCAGCCACCCACAGTCAACCCCAGGTAGAAGACAAAGGCAAACCTCTTCTGAAAACTGCTGCCAAGAAAATTGCAGAGACTTGTGCATGTAGTTCCCAGAAATCACCTTTCATTCCGCAGTGGCCTCATTGGCTGCCCTAATGGTGATATGGCAAGTCCACATTAGCACCTCACAATGTCCCATTGTAAAACCTTTGAGCTCTGACCTAGGAGTACTAAAGCCATCATTCTACTTTTGTCTACAGTGCAGGTAGCTAGAAAATTGGCATATGCTGAGACTTGTTGTCTCAGGTATGAAGGATGGCACGCATGCACTATCTTTCCAGAACTATTTCATAGCGATTGGTCTTCTGAGATTTTACTATTGTTGTGGGGGAAATGCCCACTTTAAAAGAGGAATAAAAGCTTGGTTTGATTGACTGATTGTTTGATTGATTGCTCATGTGTCATCAAGTTGGTGTTGAATCTTAATGACTATGTAGACAGATAGTCCTTGACTTACAGCAGATCATTTATAGTGACCATTCAAAGTTACAACAGCACTCAAAAAAGTTATTTATGACTTTTGGAGCATCCCCATGGTCACGATTAACATTCGGATGCTTGAAAACTAGTTCATATTTATGACAGTTGCAGTGTCCCGGGATTATGTGATCATCTTTTGTGACCTTCTGACAAGCAAATCAATAGGGAAGCCAGATTCACTCAATAATAATTTAACAACTGCAGTGATTCACTTAACAAATGTGGCAAGAAATGTCTTAAAATAGGGCAAAACTCACTTAACAATTGTGGTCAGAAGACAATGACTACTGTATTCTACAGGTTTGGAGATAGATACAACAATGTATCTTTTAATAGCATACACAACTACAGGACACCACTGAACTCCTTGCCACAAGTATGCAAAAAAGCTCCAAACTAAGCAGTGTTATGATTATATTCTTCCAGAAGTGTTAAACAGAAATTATAAAGAAGGGGATTTAAATCATGCTGTACAACCTTAACAGCTGAACTGTAGTATCTGATAACAACATGGGATGATCTTACTATGGTCTGACCCAGTGCCTCTAAAATTGTCAGATGGGGACAATCAGGTCCACATATCAAGGTTACAAGTTACTGCCTTATTTCTCAGGCCTATATAGCAATAGCACTTAGACTTATATACAATCCCATAATGCTTTATAGTACTCTCTAGGTACCTTTTTATAGTACTCTCTAGGTACCTTTTCTAGACAGGGACGCCCTCCGTACGGTCACTCAGGCTCTCATTATCTCTCGGTTGGATTACTGCAATGCCCTCTACATGGGGCTGCCCTTGGGGTGTACCCGGAAGCTCCAACTGGTCCAGAATGCGGCCGCGCGAGTAGTTACGGGTGCATCCCGCTACTCCCATATAACACCCCTATTGCGCGAGCTGCACTGGTTGCCGGTGGTCCTCCGGATTCGCTTCAAGGTGCTGGTACTCACCTATAAAGCCCTTCATGGCACGGGCACAGGATATTTGCAGGATCACCTCCTACCGGCCTCCTACTGCCCAGTGCGCTCACATAGGGCTGCCCTCTTCCAGGTCCCTTCAGCTAGACAGTGTCGGCTGGCGGTCCCCAGGATGAGGGCATTCTCTGTGGCCGCACCAACCCTCTGGAATGGGTTGCCCACCAAGCTCTGGACGGCCCCCGACCTCCGCACCTTCCGCGCTGACCTAAAGACATGGCTCTTCCATCAACTTCCCTGATCTGCCGCGGATTTTAATTTGGGTATTGGGGATTTTAATTTGGTTTTAATACTATTTAAATTTTACTTATTGTTGGGTTTTTCTATTGTTGTGAGCCGCCCCAAGTCCTACAGGAGAAGGGCGGCATATAAATCTGACAAAATAAATAAATAAATAAATAAACAGGTGTTTTACAATATCAGCATATTACCCACAACAATCCTCATTTTACTGACCTCAGAAGGATGAAAGGCTGAGTCTACCTTGAGCCCATCACAATTAAACTCCAAGCTGTGGGCAGAGATAGCCTGCAATACTGCATTCTAACCACTGTGCCACCAAAGCTCCTACTGGTATATACAGGAATCTTCTCAAACTAACTATTTATGCCTAGGCAAAGCTACATAAGGGTCAACGACATTTAAAGTGAGTTAGACTTTCTTTTCTTGTTACTACTTTGTTGTTGTTGTTGTTGTTGTTAGTTGCAAAGTCGTGTTTGACCTATCACAACCCCATGGACAACATTCCTCCAGGCCTTCCTGTCCTCTACCATTCTCTGGAGTCCATTTAAGCTGACGCTGACTGCTTCGGTGATTCCATCCAGCAACCTCATTCTCTGCTGTCCCATTCTTCTTTTGCCCTCAATCTTTCCCAGCATTAGGCTCTTCTCCAGTGAGTCCTTCCTTCTCATTAGGTGGCCAAAGTATTTGAGTTTCATCTTCAGGATCTGGCTTTCTAAAGAAAAGTCAGGTTGACCTCCTCTAGGACTGACCGGTTTGATCACCTTGCAGTCCAGTAATCCATGAAGGGGTGTTACTACTTAGAGACTCTAAACTAATGTCCCATTTGACTCCTCTCCTTGGCTTTGCCAACCTTCTCTGACAAAAATGTACACTTGTAAAAGTCTCTAAGCTTGCCCCTCCTACTGATAAGATAATATAAACAATGTCTCTATGTGGTGTCTCTTTTCACATCTGATTTCTATTATCTATCTTCTTTCCCTTCTGGCACCTCAGGCTGTTTTACTTCTGCTCTAATATTCATTCTAGAACTATAAAGAAAGCGTGATTTGGTCCCCACATTAAGTTCCTTCGATTTAGATAAGCAATAACCTTGAATAATAATAATAATAATAATAATAATAATAATAATAATAATAATAATTGGTGGCATTTACATATTAATTAAAACATATTACCTTGAAATAAAAGGTATTGAGACCAATATTTCTTACATGAGAAAATTAGTCCACAGTATTCTTTTTCTCAATAGATTCCAAAGCCACTTTATTTGATTTTGAAACCATCCCATTATCAAGTAAAGCTGAAAATTCTCAGCAATTGAAATTCCAGCCTCCTGAATGCCTCCAGTTACACCTCTTTTTCTGCTTTGAACCCCAATGACATTGGAGCAGTTTAAGACACTGAGGACCAAGTAATTGGAGGCCACAAATAATGAGAAGGAGACTGTAGGAATGAAGATGTCAGAAGACAAGGAAAGGATTCTAGGGGAGGATGAAAATGCAACCCATTGTGAGATGAACACTTGTCCAGTGTTTAATAAAGCCCTCATTCATCCGGGTTAAGGGAAGTTTTCACTGAGGGTTACCCTGAATTTCAGCCAAAGCTAAATGCAGCAGTATAAGGAAATCATTATCTGAGAATTGTCCAAAAATCTGTCATACCATGCCAAAGTTCAACCTGTACGCATAAAGGTCATAGCAGGACAAGAAGGAGAATAAGATTGCTGAAGAGAATAGGATTTCAACTGTAAAGCAACTTTTGATTAACAAAGAACACTCAAAATAGTTGTGCCACGTTCCTTACCACATTTCCAGGTTATCACGTTACCCATTCTTACACGAAGAATTAGTTGCATATAATATTTTGAACATCTGCAAACCTCAGGGATAATCCTAATTACCCATGTTAGCTTTTTGTTTAGGAGATCAAGTGGCAATCTTGTTGCAAAATTTATGATTGATCTGCAATGAAACAAGGCATCTATCCTATTCGCCTACAAATAACAAGATATAAATTTCATAAGCCAGTCATTGCAAAGACTATAATTAGTGATTTCAGCATTAAGGTTTCATTACTACTGAGATTACAACAATGATGAAAATAAATCTATAAATCCCTTGAATAATGATCTAACAGCAGGCAACCTCAACCCAGTTCACTAGGTAATTATTGGCAAACTAATGTATTAATGACGATCAGTATATCAATTCCAGTATAATGTAATTTAGAACCAATGATTCATTTCTAACAATGCCTTATTGAGACAGAACTGTGTTCCTTCATTTTCTAGGAAAGTCCACATGCTAAACTTCCCGGAAGAATATAATCAAGCTACATCATCTTTTCATGAAGTTCTTGGTTCTCATCCAACTTTTTGGGAATCATGCTCACATTACACGGTATATATTTGCAACTTAATATATGAACCTGGGGCCTAGCGTGACAGCCAAATGAGAAAGAACTGCCTGCCTATATATTTATCAAGAAATTGTGCAACAAGAATAGAATCAAACAGGGAAACAGGGATGCTATCCAGATGAGAGCTTCCCTCATTAAACAAGTAAATAAGGAATTTCTACTCTATATACCAGTTAATAAAGTAGCATCAGTCAACGGGTATGTGCATTCAAGTGGCTCCAATTAGCTCTGATAATGCTTTCCTTTTAAACCCAATCTTCAGAATTTAGAACTGAATAACTACCCTGTTTCCCCCAAAATAAGATCCAACCGGAAAATAAGCCCTAGCATGATTTTTCAGAATATAAGCCCTACCCCCCCAAAATAAGCCCCAATTAAGATTGTCAGCCAGATGGGTGCATTTAGTACCAATTTTTCTTCAAAATAAGACCTAACCAGAAAATAAGCCCTAATGCATCTTTTGGAGAAAAAATTAATATAAGACCAGGTCTTATTTTCGGGAAAACATGGTAGAAGCATTTATTTCTCTTTGTTGGAAGATTTAGATCAGGCTTCATCAACTGTCCACCCTTTACATGTGTTTAGTGTAATAATTCTCTTAAGTCTCTTCTATCTTGGTATGGAACCTCAGGAATTCTGAAATTTATACCAGAGCCTATGAGGTTGAAGAAGGCTGGTCCTAGAAACTGTCTGCATAAGATACAGAATATTTATCAATCAGCTCTCAGTATTATATATTTTAGCAAGCAGTATTTCAGTATGTTGAAAGGAAGATGCTTTCTAGATATCTTGGACTTTCTGGAATCTTGACCTTTCTGCATGGAAAACATGTGATCTATGAGATGTAGCATGGGACTGGTTTTCCTACAGTACTGATTTACTGCTGTTGCTTTTTTTAAAAAAAATGCTTTGCTATTCACTCATCTGCTTATGGAGTGCAATTTAATTTATTGTTTTATTATTGCCTACTGGTATTATTTATATAGAACTTGAGAATCTGTTTCTGGAAACAGGCTAGCAGGATACCAATTGAGAGAAAGAAATATAGTTAAAGGAAAGGAAACTGTTAATGGAAGCAGGAACCAAAATTGAAGTGAGATTTAACAGCCAGGAGAGAAATCTTCAGATGCAGGCAAAAACAACACATCACGTAACAGATACGGAAGCCTAAACATTTAAGAGTGGAATAATCAGTGGTGTTTATGAAAAAAGGAATAAAGGTGGCAAGTAATGACACTTGCATGATGATGTCAGTTGCTGCAACTTACACACTTCTGTCAGATGTCATGATGGATTTGTATCAGGCTTGGGGATATTTTTGTGTCCTAATGTTTTAGACACTACTGGGAATGTTTATATCCAGGTTCTAGTTGTTAATGTAATCTACAAGCAAATCATGTGTGAGGGGGATATGACAAAACAGTAAAAAGGCAGGGAATCCAAAATATAATTTCTCAGACTTATTTGACTGCACAAAAACTGATTAAAATAAATCACTGAGGAAGTGAGAAATCATTTCACTGCAGTTGCAGACTATTTACTAATCTACCATAGACAGTTGCAGAGATGTTAACATTCTCACATTGGTATATGATATTTATGAAAAATAGTGCTGTATGCATTTTGGTCAAAACAGGTGCTGTTTACATGCTGTTCGGTCTCTTTTTCCCCATCTAAGTAAAACTGCTGGTATGCCAAAATGCTTCCTTTCAATGTCTTTCCTTATAACAGGAACCAGAATATTTTAGATAAATTGTGGAAATTCCCAGGCCATTGCATATTATGGTTTTTCATCTTTATAATAATAATAATATCATTTTTAAACATGCAGTATGGATACAAAAGATGCTGATTTCCCAATACCTGCTTTACTCTAAAAACACAAAAGGTCTGGTAATAAAGCAAATGGCTCTTTTGAAATCCAGCAAAAAGATGGGGGCAGAGGGCTATTTGATAAAAACACAGTGGCAAAAATCAATATTAGCTTTTCATGTTTCTTATTCCTGGGAATCACTCAAAAAAGTAATTGCTTGCATACCAATGATCATCTTTAAACTGAAATTGATGTAATTGGTCAACTTGCAAACTGTTTGGCCTGTATTCAAAGTTCAACAAATATTACATTATATATTATTTAGTGGTCAGAATACTGTCCGTCCGTCCATCCATCCATCCATCCATCCATCCATCCATCCATCCAATTATTTTACTATGTTAGACTGATTGTACCAATTTACAGTACCACTATATGTAGATAGTTTTAAAAGTACCAAGTATATCAATCCAAATAAAAATGACAAACATTAACAAAGAAAACAACAGAGATAATAACTTTCCATACAATAACATACAGAAAATAAAACTATAATAAGAGGATGAAAGACCATAGTTTCCCATGATTGTCAGTAATGGGAAGTTTTTTTTTCTTCTGATCACAGTCTCTTAATCACACCTAGCTCTGAATCAATCATTCAATCCTATACTAATTATAATTACAGTAAGACACTGTTTAATATATTTGGATTCAGTAGGAAATTGTGTGTTGTTCATAATTTCAAGTTTTAAATTTAGCCTTTAAAGGGAAATGGAGGAGCTGACCCATAAGTTCCAAACTTGCTGAAGAGGAAACATAGGATATTTTTTTTTCTTTATTCTGAACATAAGTCGAACTGTTTGATTTTTGTTTATTAAATTAAAAGTCTAAGTGTCTATTTGCACACCATCTTTTAACTAGAGTAATGATTGAAGCAGTGTTTCTCAGCCTTAGCAACTTTAAGCTGTGTGGAATTCAAATCCCAGAATTTCTCAGTCAGCAAGTTTAAAGTTGCCAAAATTAAGAAACACTGGGCTAGATGTCATCTTCTTCCTTGTCTGCTTAGAATAATGGTTTCTACATCCACAGGGTAGGTTTTATGCTGGGAAAGATTGAGGGCAAAAGAAGAAGGGGATGACAGAGAACGAGGTGGATGGATAGAGTCACTGAAGCAGTCAGCATGAGCTTAAATGGACTCCAGAGGATGGTAGAGGATAGAAAGGCCTGGAGAAACATTGTCCATGGGGTCGCGATGGGTTGGACACGATTTCGCAACTAACAACAACATAGTTAATGAAATATACTTCAAGGAAATAAGCTACCTATTACACATGGATAAGCTACCTTTCCTTCTTGTGGGCCATGTTGCCAAATCTAATCTCTTAGGGCTTTGTCACAAGTCAGTGGTGGGCTGTTGAAGCCCATAGTGTGCCAGTTTTACATTACATCTCTCTCTCTCTCGCTCGCTCTCAACCCCCACTTTTCTTACCCTGATTTTCCTTCATCTCTTCCCAGCAGTGAAATCTGGCTGGATCTATCTGGCTTGTGCGAACCTGTAGGGCCGGCAGCGGGAGGCTCCACCCACCCACCGGGACGTCATTACGTCCCGTTTTTGACCCTCTGCACATGCGCAGAAGAGGCGCGCATGCTCACATTTCTGAACCGGTAGCGAAGGTAAGTCATTTCACCGCTGTCTCTTCCTCTATGTGGAAGACTGATATGCAGAAAACTATGACTTTATCTCCACTTCTAGTTACTTCCTTGCCAGAACATGTCAGCAACTGTTTCTGGGATGCAGGAATGGAAGATGTCATCCTCTATTAATCCCCCTTTCACTTTCAAGGTGACCCCAAGGCATCTTTCTCTGCTCTGCTTCTGAAGTACGCTTGTCTTTATCATGTTGACTTGAGGCCATGTCTGTTTGGGCTACAGCACTTTGGTTTGTTGCAGAGTAACTTTAAACATTTCATTGACTACTTTGTAGAAGAAGGGAACTCCTCCCACCTTAGCCTAACACTTATTATGTACAGTACAGGCTCTAAACTTCCCTTTACTAGCACTGCTGAAATACCAGGATAGTAAAGATCTTTAGTTAATTTAAAGAAGTTTGCCAAATTGCAACCCAACAGATTTTTTTTAATCGTGATTTTTCTTTCCCCCCCCACCCCCTAGTATCCTATAGATTTATAGTTTTACAATTTCTTTAGTTGTCTGAGGTAGAATGAATAGTTTTATCCTAGCACCCAGGTAGTCCATAGGGTTTTTTTGGCTACCTGAAAACTGAATGGGGTATCCTCCTAACTTCATGATTTCTCAAGAAAAGAAAAGAAAAGTCTGTCTATCTGTCTGTCTGTCTGTCTGTCTGTCTGTCTGTCTGTCAATCAATCAATCAATCATCTAGCTCTCCTTATTGAGAAATAGTAAGGTCTTTGTGTAACCTGAGCTGAATAATAATAATAATAATAATAATAATAATAATAATAATAATAATAATTTTATTTCTATACCACTCTTCTCCCGGAGGACTCAGGGCGGTGTACAGCCTATTAAAAGCACAAAGACAACCATCAATTAAAAATAATTAAAATTATTAAATAGTTTCAGCTCAAATTTAAAACCCCCAAAATTTAAAACACCTAATTTAAAATCATTACATTGATAGCCTGGCCTGGCGGAACAGCAGGGTCTTGAGGGCACAGCGAAATACATGGAAGTCGGAGATCTTACGCATTTTCGGAAGCAGTTCATTCCACAGGGCAGGGGCTCCCACAGAGAAGGCCCTCCCCTGGGTGTCGCCAGCTGACATAACTTGGCCGATGGCACCCTGAGGAGACCCTCTCTGTGGGAGCGGACTGGCCAGTGGGAGGCTATTGGTGGCAGAAGTCGGTCTCGAAGGTACCCGGGTCCTATGCCATGGAGCACTTTAAAGGAGGTAACCAGCACCTTGAATCGCACCCGGAAGACCACTGGGAGCCAGTGCAGCTCGCACAGGAGGGGTGTCACATGGGCACAACGTGCTGCGCCCATAACCACCCGCGCGTCCGCATTCTGGACCAGTTGGAGCCTCCGAGTGTTCTTCAAGGGGAGCCCCATGTAGAGAGCATTACAATAGTCCAGCTGAGAAGAGGAGATGTGGTTGAAAATCAGTGAATGGGAATAAACAATAAGTGGCAGGAGATGCAAAAACCTGAAAATATGTAGATTTCTTTGAACATCACTTGAATAGGGTTTACACATATATGTGTGTGTCACATGAACATATCTCGAGTTGGGGAGAAAAACCTACAGAACTGGACAATCATTCTAGATTGTCCAACTGAAAGAGTCACTGGGAGTTGAGCAGCATATCAATTTATAATAATAATAATAATAATAATAATAATAATAATAATAATAATAATTGAAAAACTAAGAGAAGATGTGCATGGCGCAGGTTGTTGCCTATGTTAATATTACTTTTAGTGTGTTGGGAGGGAACTACGGATCATCCTAAATTCCAGGTCATTGTTCTTTTATGGTACTTTTGTGTATATATATAAAAATACTCATATCAATCACAATGCAGAAATTAATATTTTGAAGGATAAGCATCCTTCAAAATATTCATCCTTCATGGCTTTACAATGAATATTTCAATGTTCTGAAGGAACTAGTGCAGCTTATTCTGAAAAGCATCCTGTTATTTTATTTGAATGAAAATCATTCTGAGAATAAGACTCTTCACTAGGGGAAGCATTTTTTTTTTCATTTCAGGAAATAAAAGTAACCATTGCTTCTGTAAAGAGCTCTTATATTTGAAAATAACTTTCCTTATCTATAGTTAAAATGAATATTTTGTAGACTGGTATTTTGCGAGAGTCACCATATACTCGTTCAATCACTTTCTTTCTCCCTAATAAATTGAATTTGGAATTGGCTAATAGTTATTTTTTGTCTTCTCTTGATAGTATTACTGACTGTTGACTGTTGGGGCTTTTCTGAATCCACTCTTTGCATTCAATACATACTCTTATCTCAGCAAAATAGTTTTCATAAAGTAGTTATTAACCATCTTTGAATTTGGAAGAGCTTCTTTTCGGTATCTTGCCTCCATTTTATGAAATGGAATGCTTTCATTTCCTGCATCATTATTAGTCAATCCTGATCATCCTTAAGGTAAATCCATGGAATAAAATCCAACAATTCCTTTTAAAAAAAACAAACCAACCTCCAAAACATTGGGGTAGGTTGGGGCTGTGAGGAGTCTAGTTACGCTTTGAGGAAATGGTACTAAAATGTCATGGATATGTTGCATAAATATGTAATATTTTTTGTCTGTGTTTTGCCAAATAGGGGATTTATTTTTTTTTTTTAGAAAAAGAGAGACACCTGTTCCTTTGCTTAGTATGTGATTGCTTCTTAGAAAAGCATTTAGTTCCTAGTAAAATATATCCTACAAAGAACAGTCTCTATTGATTATGTCACTGTCCAGAATTCACTGCTGTTTCTAGCTACAGTTTATACATGAGACTACCCATTCATGCCACTATTTTCTTTTCTGTGGTTTCTTGACAAATGACTGGGGTTACATTTTGTTCAGTTTTTTTTTTAAAAAAGGCATCTAGAGTTCTGCATCATGCTAACATAAGAGTGTGCAACAGGAGGCCTAAGGCCAATGTCAGTTCTGAAATTCTTGACTGCATTCCGAGAGCACGTACATCCGAAATGCCACCGAATTTATTTCTGATAAAAGAGAAGGGAAAATGCCACATTAGGTGGAGACTAATCATATAACGTTTTCACTGGCAGAGGTTTGTAGGAGGCCATCGCAGCTGAAAACTGAGCTCGGTAATCCATTTTCTCTGGCAGAGGCACCGTGGGCCAGTCCTTCACTGTTTCCAGGGCAGCCCCACAGGCCAGATCTAAGTACCCTGTGGGCCGATCCAGCCCGCGGTCCTTCAGTTTGACACCCCTGGTCTAGATAAAACTTACCTACGTTCTGGTCTTGCTTCTTACTGGAGTGTTGTGCTGGTTGGGCCACTCAAAGGACAAATATAGCTGTTGGCCTGAAAAAGGCAGGGTACCCATGTGCAGCTGCTTTAAGAATTGTTGATGGATGCTATACAACTCCTCCTGCAATTTCTGAAACATCTTTTTCTCTTTAATGCACTGCACAACTCTAGTCTAGAGTTACTTCTAGTCTAGAGAACACTTCTTCCTTGTCCCTTTGTTTTGCTCTGTTTTCCTCTGATTGAAAAACCACTACTATTGGCTTCTCCCCCCCCCCCTACCCCCCCCCCCCAAGCCTGCTTCCAATACAAAGAACAATTTCATCTATCCATCTTCTCTTTCTCCTACCATAAGAGCAGAACGTTCAGATTTTTTTTCTATCAGAAGAGATGATTTTCTTAACCAATTTCCCTTTTATTGTTTGGGCTTTACATCTCTGTCTCAAAATACAATATTCCCATTTATGTGTTTGGTCATCTAATTACAAAGTTCAGTGAACACATCAGAAGATTCAAACAAAAATACACCAACTTTTCTTTACACCTATTTATTTCAAGGTGGGTGACACATGTGCTTTTCCAGATGACGGTGGACCTCAAAGTCCACTAATTTACATGCTGGGCAGGGATGACTGAAACTGGAATACATGCAAGATCACATGTTGTTTATTTAGTCCATGAAAATGTATCCTCAGGTGCAACTTTTGGTTTTGAGATGGCTAATTTGCCTATCGTCTGATAGAAAAAAAGACTTTCCTTGACAAAAGGACCAAGAATGATATGTTTAATAAGCTGCTTAAGACCCCATTAATCAGGAATCAAACCATTATTGTTGTCAGATTACAAGACTCTCTGTGCATAAAAAACGAGACATGGATTTTTAAAAAACAAAAATTCTGTTTCAGTATAAGCTGCTCTGGCTAAACAATCAGCTTGTTCATGGCAAGTAAAAAAAAATGGCAAACAAATGAATAGATTTTTTGTGGAAACCCCTGGAAAGCATTGAGTTTTGCTAGCTGACTCAAAGGCTGTCAAACAAAGATAGTCTGTCAAATGAAAGATGAAGAGAAAATATTGTGGTTGGTTTTTGTGCAGGGTAAGAAAATGAATGGTACCAACAAAGATTTCCTAAAATAAAATTAAACAGGATGTTAAAGAAGTCCAGAAATTAGATTTGTTCATGTAAATTCTGCTGCATGCTCAAGAGGAACATCAGAAAAAAAACCCCAAATTTCAATGGTTCTCCCAATGACTATGTCAGATTAACAACATTGGATTCTATCTACCTCTATAAATTAATGTCCTCCATCAGACAATCCTATTCAGGATTATGGCATTTGTAGTTCAACATACCTGGAGAGCATCATTTTGCTTAACTTTATTAAAATTACAGTATTATTCATTTATTGGGACGCGGTGGCTCAGTGGCTAAGATGCTGAGCTTGTTGATTGAAAGGTCAGCAGTTCAGTGGTTCGAATCCCTAGTGCCGTGTAACGGAGTGAACTCCCATTACTTGTCCCAGCTTCTGCCAACCTAGCAGTTCGAAAGCACATAAAAAATGCAAGTAGAAAAATAGGGACCACCTTTGGTGGGAAAGTAACAGCATTCCGTGTGCCTTTGGCGTTTAATCATGCCGGCCACATGACCACGAAGATGTCTTCGGACAACGCTGGCTCTTCGGCTTTGAAACAGAGATGAGCACTGTCCTCTAGAATGATTAGCACATATGTGCAAGGGGAACCTTTACCTTTACCTTTATTATTCATTTAGGCATCCACTTCCAAATATTTATTGGAAACAGAAAGAATTGAGAGGGGAGAGCTGTGATGTGCACCAAAGAGCTATCATAATGAGTCTTGTTTAAGTAGATGGTTTAATAGAGCTTCCATACTAAGGGGCAGTCTATCAGCCTCTTGAATAAAAAGGAAAAGTCCAATTTTCCGGCTTTCTTAAGAGACAAATCCCTCAATGTTGGAACTTCTCTACAAGCAAGCATTGTGATTTGGCGCCCGGCATCATTAAGCTATGCCATATTTTATTTGGGTAGAATCTTTTCTACGAATACATTTTCATGGCTTGGATTGCTGTATGAGAAATGATGTCTGAGGTTTAAAAGCTCAGGAGAGAATTTCTCTGCTTTTTCGCTGTCCTTAAACTCAGCATCAGCTAACAAGGGTATCTCACCTAAGCAGAAAGGACAGAGGGAGCTGACTCTAGACCCAGCAGAGTTCTCTCTCTCTCTCTCCCTCCCTCCCTCCCTCCCTCCCTCCCTCCCTCCCTCTCTCTCTCTCTCTCTCACACACACACACACACACACACACAGCTTGCAACACAACTGATTTTGACTGGAAGTTGACCAGAAGCTGCATTGGTGAGCCTTGCTTAGTCAGAGAGCTTAATGGAGCTCCTGTAGAAAAAGGCAGGCTACATACAAAGAGAGCCAAAGGGCTTCTGTAGCAAAAGGTGAGAAAGAGGCAGCTTGAGAGATTTGTTAGTAGGTTCCTAGAGATCTTTGGCTGCCAACAGTGTATGCAGAAAAGTTGGAGCAGATCCTTTGGTAGATCCCAAAGGAGGCCTTCAGCCCTCTGGGAATTCTATTCGCCTTTTGACTTCATCCATCCAGAGTCAAAGGCAGGAGTGAAATGTTCCCATAGCGATGGAAGCAGGTGGTTCGGAGAACTGGTAGCAAAAATCCCTAACACCCCCCCCCATGCCCAGCTGAGCTGTGTGATCATCAGAGGCTTTTTTTCTTTTAAATGCCTCTGACGATCCAAGCTGAGTTGCCTGATAGGCAGAGGCTTTTTAAAAAACCCTCTGACGATCAGGCAACTCAGCTGGGATCGTCAGAGCCTTTTGAAAGCATTTTTTTACAACCTCTTTGCCGAAAAGATTGTAGAAAAAATGGTTTTAAAAGTAAAAAAAAAAAAATTTGGCTACGCCCACCCAGTCACATTATCCACCACCACCACCAAGCCACACCCACAGAACCAGTAACAAATTTCACCACTGGTCAAAGGTCACCAACTGTCACCAACTGTCAGTTGTCACTGAGGAGAGCGAAGATATTTTCCAAGATGTAAATAGTTCTTCAGACAGGCTATCTGTAAAGATTTTCTCAATGTCTTTTCTTCTTTGGGAGGTGGAAGGTTTGTCTATGTGTGTGTAAGGAGGCAGGCTGCAGAAGACATCTATGATCTGATCTTCAACGTTGTCCAGAGGGAGCAACACACCTAGTCACTAAAGGAGGGAGAAAAAAAAAGTTTCCCTATTGATCTCCAAAAATACATTGTGGTGAGAAGAGCCTTTGCCCTGGGATGGGGAAACAGAGAGGGGGAAGGCAGGGAGGAGAAGGGAAGGGAGGCCCTCAGGACTGAGCCCCTTCCCAGAGATTTACACAGAAGGTGCTTCTCTCTTTGTCCAGATGCTCCCTCTGTCCCAGACACAGAGCAGGTAGAGCAGGTGGAGTCTGGAAAAGGGGTTTTACTCCCTTCCATTCCTTTTCTTAGGTTCCTGAGATTTCGAAAATGTTGCAGAGAAATCTTCCAATGCTGTTGGGGGAGAATGAGAAGGAATGCCAGGCCAGCCAGTCCTTCAACCTCCACCTTGGAAGACGCAACAAATCTGTCTGGCCGAAGAAAAACGAAAATCACGATAGACATTGAGCTCCATAAAGTGGAGCAGCACGGTGAGTACACACTTTGGGTTGAAGGGGATGGAGAGGGAAAGGGAAGGAGCTCCTTTAGGAGTGGACTCCTCTATGTGGGCATCTAGAGAAGCCAATTCTGCCTCTTCCTATATTCTAGGTTACATTTGGGGGCTGCGCAGAACCAAATTGCTCCTGGCCCTTAAGCACCCCTCCTCGTGAAGCTTCTGAATCCACATTAACTTTCCACAAGTTGTTCTGCTTCCATGAGACTCTTCTGGGAAACTTCACATTTGCTCAGTGGAAGCTATCTATAGACTGGGAACTGGGGAGGGAGGATATAGAGAATGCAATAGGTCTTTCCCCTAAAATAGACATAGCCAGCAAGCACAAAAGCCTTTGAATCGGGTCTCCGAGAGAAGGATGCCGCAAAGGGCTGATTTTAGGGTCTTTCCTTCATCTGGAGGAGATCTAAAACTTTGCTATGATTCCACCCTTTGTGTCTCCTTTCCTAGATTTCTCCACAAAGGACAGCCGAGGGAAAGAGAAAGTCCTCTTCAAGAGACAGGACCTTCCCCAAGCAGTGCAATCAGAGCTGGCCTGTATTAGAAGAGACCAGGAGATGAGCCAATACCTACAGCAAGTGGTCTTTCAGAGGAGGAGAGAGACACAGCAAATAGTAGTACCCTTGGAAGTAGAGGTTCTTTTGCTGGGCTTTTCCTCTGGGTTTCAATCCCAGCCTTTTTTTTTGCCCAATCTCAGTGTGGGGCAAAAGATTCCTTAGGATGGATAGAGTCTCAGAAGGGTTTCAAGCTTTCCTTGTAAAAGGAAGAGCACCGGGGGCTCTAGAAGAATCAGATGCCCTGACTGACCGCCTGACTCTTTTCAATCACACAGGAACATCACATAATTCAGGTCCTCAGTGATCACTGCACTATTTTCCTTAAGAATAGTGGGCAAATGTGGGCAAATGTGCCCAGAAATAAATATATATATAGTCTTCTTGTGATGGGAAGGGGGAAGAGTTAATGGGCAGCAGTCAAGGAGGATGGGGAGATATCAGAGGGAAAGGGAGAGGAGGAAAGCTACTATGAGTTCTCAGGAGGTTTAGCAAAAGCTCAAAAGCTCCTTAACATGGGGCAATTTTCCTTTGGACTGAAAGGTGAGGTGCTGCAGCAGCATAGGTCAAAATGGGCTGAGACAAAGAAGAGGTTCTAGAGCAACTTGGTTGACTTTAGAAAAATCAATAATTCTCTCCACTCTTGTTTCCTGGCAGGCTTTGTTGCAAGACCACAATTTAACCAGCTTCACAGCCGGGTTAGCTGCCTTGCTGGCAATATACGATATCAGGTCAGCCTTTTGTTTCTTTTGCAGTGGGTAAGGAAAGTCTGATTGGGGTACTCAGTGAGTAAGAAGGGGAAGGCCATTCAGAGAATCACTCACGCCCTGGTCCCCTTGCAGCTCAATACAACACAGTTCACATGGTAATACAGTTCACCTTGAATACAAACCAGAAGTTTTATTTTGGATCCTTTCAATTTGGATCACCAAAACAAAGGAAATATTTTCCCTATGAAGTAGAGGGAAGAAAGGGGAGGGTGGCTTGGTCTCCCCATCTCTCCTAGCAGTTGAGCCTGCTTATCCTATTCTTATGGGGAAATGAAACTGTGGGATGCTCACTAATATGGGCACTGATGTCTCTTCCTTCTTTTGATCCCACAGCAAGATCACACCAGTCATGGACTCACCAGTGGAATCCATGCTGTTAGACATTTCTATCTTCTCTTGGATGGCTATCATGGAGATACAAGATGAAGATGTTCCTGAGGTACCGCCTTCATCAACATTTCTGGAATTTCCTTTTTGATGTTGGCATGGATGGAAAAATGTTTCCCAAAAGTAATAAGCACCACTCTTTTCAGGTGGAGAAGAAGTTGGTGGAGGAGGACTTTGGCCTCACACTCAGAAGCCTTCTCTGGCAGTCTCCCACCTCAGAGCACTTCATTTTTATTTTGAAGGTAAGGGCCCAGAAATCCCATGAGGAGCTTGAAGGAACACTTGGTCAGTGTAAAAATTAACAGAAAAAAACTCCTATCAAATGCCCCTATGTGAACAATAACTGGAGGATTGTTCCTTAAGATAGGCATCAAGTACCATGAGAAACTTGGCTTGTCACAAAAGTTGCTGTTCTTCAGGCAGAGACCTCTTTGGAATAAATTTTAGGAATGCTGGAGCATTATTAGAGGGACTGGACGGTCCCAGAGGCTGAGACAAGGATGTATTATAAATTGCACATGTTATGTTTTGGCAGTGAGATTCTTGGGTCTCAGAAATAAGCAAAAGTGTCCTTTCTTTGTCAATTCCACAGCACTTTGACCCATACGGCAGATTGTTCTCACCGGTGCTGAACCAGCTCCTCTACTGCGGGAACCATCATCCCAAGATTGATGTACGTAGCAAAACTAAAGTGCCATGAATTGTAGCCCTTCAGTCTCCCATTGCTCTCGGGACCCCACTCTCAAATAACCACTCTCTTGGAACCAAAGTGAAAGGTGGGGGCTTTTTCCTCTTATTCCACTTGATGGTGGACTAAGGAATCCCTGGGAGGGATGTCTTGCTACTAATATTTGTGTTGATAGACAAGGGAAGGAGAATTATTGTATGAGACATCTTGGCAACAGTGTGAGGCACTTCTTTCTGTATCTTCCAGCTTGATGAAGTCCAGCAAGCTTTTCCAGGAGTTCCCAGGAAAATCTGGCATGCTGCAAAGACCTATGCTTACATTAATGAAGGTAACTTTATTTAGAACACTAAGGGGAGGAGGGGAGGTTATTGACACATGAAGTGATAGAAAATCAATCCCACGCTTTGTATTTCCAATGGTAATCCTCAATTTATCACCAGTTGTTGTTCAACTGTGCAAAGGCACGATAGACTCAAAAAGAGTTACTCTTAGTTAACCTCTTAGTTACGACAGTCACACCAACTCATGTGATCACATTTTGGGTATTTGGCAACAAGCTCAAATTTATGATCAGCTTCAAATGTTTACATGATCATTTTTTATTTGTTTTAGAGCGGAAAAAAAAGGCAAAATACAGCCACTTGATAATCTCCATTTGGAATTACTGCCATGTGATTAACTTAAAAACTATTGTAAAAATGATTGTAAAATTGAATTCAGTCATGTGGTGATTTGATTTAAAACTGCAATGACTGATCGCAAACATTTGAGCTCAGTTATTGTCATAAGTTGAGGACAACTCCCATAGATGGAAAACCTGTATGTTTTCCACCTATGTAGCAAACAGATTAAATTTCAATATCTCTTTCTTTCAATTTTTCTTACCTTTTATTTCCATGCAGGTGACCTAGAAGTAGAGGAGCTGTGACCTCCCACCCTCCGCCATTGAGCCAGCTATACAGTTACTCAAGGATGGATGAAAAGAATTTCCACCCTGTCTCAGGGAATGGCCCTTCATTTCTTCCTTCTATAAAGGATTTATGTAATAGTTTTTATGTAATAGATTTTATGTAATAGTTGAATTTGCTCTGTTGTACCTTCCGACTTTATAACAAATCCTGATATTTGTGCTTCTAGATCATTGGAAGAATGGACCTCATTGTTACTGAAGTTCCCCTTGGAGTTTCAAAGATGGCATTGAAGCTGCATGTGTTGTGGAGCAGATGCCAACCATAATCAGTTTTACCGCTTAATTTGTTTACCTGGGAGGCCTGACACAATGTACATATACTTACACATACATACACACACACACACACAGTATAGATAGATGATAGATAGATAGATAGATAGATAGATAGATAGATAGATAGATAGGTAGATAGGTAGGTAGGTAGGTAGACAACAAACATACATACACACATACAACCCCTACAATGTCCAAACATTGTGTCATGTCTCCCAGGTAAACCAGAGAGGAAACATGACTAAATGAATTAATTCTACCTTATTGTAAAGCTACATTGACAGAACCTTGAAAGTCTGAAGGGAGCCCTTTTGACTGAATTTCTATCTTCTTTTTCTTGTGTTTGACTGAATTTCTATCTTCTTTTTCTTGTGTTTGCCTTAAAAGTGTGGCATGTAACTGGGCACATATAAATGTCCCTTTTGTATGTATATGTATTTATTTTTATATTCTGTTTTTAATGGTTTCATTGATTTTATGGTTGTTTGCCACCCAGTGTCACTTGTTTGCGATGGGCGCCTGTACAAATTGAATCAATCAATAAACTTTGGATATTATTCCTTCACTTGTTTTCCTAAAGAGCGTGTGCTTTTTTCATATCTCATTTCTTTGGTTATCTGATTTCCAATCATAAATAAAGGTACAATATGAGTCTGTGTTTTGTAGAAAAGTTGTTTAGTGACCATTCAAAGTTAAAACAGCACTGAAAAAAATGACATGACTGTTTTTCACATTTATGACCATTGCAGCATCCCCGTGGTCATATGATCAAAATCTGGATGCTTAGCTAATGGCATATTGTCATGACAATTGCAGTGCCCCAGGGTCATGTGATCACCTTTTGTGATCTTCTGACATACAAAGACAATGGGGAAGTCAGATTCACCTAACAATCATGTTACTAATTGAACAACTGCAACAATTTACTTAATAACTGTGGCAGCAATGGTCATAAAATAGGGGAAAATTCACTTAACCCTCTTGCTTAGCAATGGAAGTTTTGGGCTTAGTTGTGCTCATAAGTTGAGGACTACCTGTAAAAGTATAATAGGGATGGGAATAGGAATGGGAAGGGAAGGGAAGGGAAGGGAAGGGTACTGCAGGATTAATTTTTATAAAAGTACGCCTGAGCCTTAATGCTTCTTCTAATAACATAAAGAGAAACAGTGAACTCTCATTAATGCTACCTTTCTAAACTTTGTTTTAATGACATTATTGTTAACTCATAGTTCAACTTTTTGGAAGTGGTATTAAGTTTAAAATTATTAAAATGTTAAATCCTCAATGTTGGGTAAAAAACCGCCAAACAGCTGAGTTCTTTTAAGCAAATATCAACACATTGTTCAGTTCTTTTTATTGGAATGTCTGAAGATATATTTAGTCTCTTATTTCAGTATCTTATATATACATATGCTTATATCTGTGTAAATATATTGAGAATGTCTATCATCCAAGCTATATTTGGATAGGAAGAAAGTAAAAGGATGGGATGTTGAACTGAGATTTAATTAGGTACTGGAGATGATGCTTAACTGAGCTGCAGGTGGACGGAGAGTGACAGTAGCAGTTCAGTGGAGATCACAGAATGGAAGAAAAGAATGAAAAGAAAGAGAGGACAGGAGGCCAGAAAAATATGACAAAGAGCTTAAATGAAACCCATCATCTTCCTGCTCACAATAATGAATACACAGAAATGAATACCATTTCTGTATTATATCAGCCACTATATAATGTAATCCCCAAATTTATGAGGAGAAATGCAAATTTTATTATGATATATTGATCATAATATTGATCAATATATCATAATAAAATCCCTCAGTTGATCCCTCAGTTATTCTTCAAACAATCTTTCCTCTTCCCAGAGGTTTCAGTTTCTATTGTATTATCACTGAGTTTTTATAACAAAGGGATAATATTTCCCTCAAGGCTTATTTTTGTATTTTTACAAGCCTTTAACGTAAGTTGATTGATATATCCTTCTTCATGTCATCCTGTTCTTTGTATGTTGGAAGTTTTACACAAAAGTACCCAAAAGTATCCATGATATCCTTATTTCACAGTACGGCCCATTTAGTCACCGATCTCTTAACTAAATACATTTCTGTTGTTTTATGAAATTGGAAACCATGTTTTTTTTTCTCATTTAAAGCAAATCTTGAAATACTGTATGCAGCAAATGGATAGATTCCTGACCATGAAAAGGAGGATGAACATGTTAATATGCAAATGATTTCAGGAAGGATTTTCAGTGGTTAATCTGATTGTTTTACATTTTATAATATATAAGAATGGGGCTACTTCTATTTGCTACTATTTGTGAGACTATTGTGAAATAGTCACTAAGTGGATAGAAAGTGCTATTTTTTTGTTACAGGTTAGGACAATTTTGTTAAACGGAGAAACATCACATTTTCATGAAATGGATAGAAATCAGCCCAGCTAATAAACAGCTAGATCAGTACTTCTCAAACTTGGCTAAATTACCCAAAATTGGCTTATGAGTGGTTTTTCTTTGGGTAAGCGCAAACAAACCTATTATCCAGTCATTACATCAATATTTAAATTGACTTAAAATATTTTACCTACATTGGGCAAAAAGAACTTTCTGATAAGCAGTTTTGTTTAAACAGGGTTTAATTATTCTTGTCTCCTTAGAAATTTTTATAACTTTTAAAATTTTTAATTCTAAAGTTTTAATTTTTATATGCTGTTTTATATTTTGATGTATTGCACACTGCCCAGAGTCCCCCTTTGAGGGAGGTGGGCAGTTTAGAAAGGTAAAAATGAATGTATGAATACATACATACATACATACATACATACGTACGTATGTACATACATACTTATGTACATACATACATACATTTGGCAAGCATTGTAGCTGACATTTTAGTTCACGAAGCTGCTCATTTTTTGCTCGTCATGGCCAATACTATGAAGGAACTACTACTTTTATATCAACGATTCCAAAACCAATACCATCTTAATAATGTTTGTGCTACATAAATGTGGCTGTGAGGTGGATATCTGTGTTTGTTGTCATGTCTGGTGCTTCCACATTTATACCAATGGTACCATCACAAGTTCCACCAGTTTTATACATAAGATTAGAAGCACTTTGACATGGCCTTCATCTAGTTCAGGGGTGTTCAACCTTGGCAACTTTAAGACCTATGGACTTCAACTCCCAGAATTCGCCAGCCAGACATATATGCCATCATCTGCCAGCAATGCCCCTCTGGATTCTATCCAAGACAAACAGTCCAGACTTTATACAAAAACTGAATGGATATAGTTTTGACATCTCAAACCAAGGACAGAGTAATTGCAGATCATTTTAACCTTCCAGAATATTCAATTAAAGATTTCAAACTAGCTGTTTTAGAACAAAGAAACTCTAGCACCCTACTTGAGTGAGGAGCTACTGAACTCCTGCACATCAAAAGGTTTCAAACTATCTCTTAAGGTCTCCACAAACACAATAGGTTTTTAATATGCCAATAATTAATTGATAAAGTATACTTACAATGTGTCTATGGGCAATCTGCATCTCAATCTGTATAACTAGCCTTCATCTGTTTTATCACCCTTTTCCAATTCTACATCAGCTTAGCCATTGCATGCATCTGTCAAAGTGACTTCTGATTTATGACTGTGATAAGAAATACATGAGTAGTGTTAATCTATTGCTAGTAATCTTTTCTTCTAAGATTAACTACTTTTTGGATTGCTGAATAGATAACCAAATCATAGCAAAGAGACCTAAGCAGTTTAAAAAACAAAATAAACAAAAAGATAGTATCTGAAAAGCCTGACTGTAAATAGCATCAATGTTAGCCAAATGCAAATCAGAGACAACTGCAAATGATCCTTCTTGTTGCACCATGAATAATCTTTATTCATGCAGATGTTCTCTCCTCTCCTTCCTTCTTGTCATTTGAAATCATCAGTTAAAATGGAAATAACGTAGAATGCACCTATTGTTTATATGGGCCTTTTGCTTTGAAATGTCTTAGGAAGACCCTGTGATATTGATATTGCTCCACATCAGCATTCCCAAAGGGGTAAAATGCCAGTCTTTTCTGAGGGAAATATTCTAATTTGTATATAATTCTTAGGGACTTTATCAGGAGAATCTTTCTACAGCCTAGTGTGAATCAGCACTGGCTTTCAGAAATCAAACAACAATGAAATCTGTCAAAATCTTGGCCCTGCCCAAAAGGAAAGTCATTCCAGAGTGATGGTTACCTCCCTTGTGATTATTCCTCAGCTGGCTCTTGCCATGTGCCAATAAACTCCCTTTAAGCACATGTTATGTTGGCAGAGGTCTTTGTGCACTCTTTTCTTTTTTTTTTCCCAAAGAAACTTTATTGAGTTTAAAAACATAAATATATTAACATTTCCATTAATATCCGATGTGCAGTGGTTTTAACTATATACAAAATATGTTTCTGGTGTCTTTTTGCTTTTATTTAACACACCTTTTTCTCTTTCTTTCATTTTATCATTCATCCATTCATACCACCTTCCCCACACGGTATAGTATTCTGAATTCTCATCATCGTTTATTTCATGAGTTAGTTTGGTCCTCTCTGCGCACTCCAGTATTTTCCTAGTTATAAGCTCTTCTAGTGGCTGGGTTTTCTCTTTCCAATATTGTGCGTAAGCCAATCTGGCGGCTGTAATTATATGTATCCTTTCCTTTCCTTATGGCTTCTTTACTATTCCCAGGAGAAATATTTCCGGTGTTAATTCAATATCTTCCCCAATTATTTCTTGTAACCATCTCCTGATCTTACTCCAATATCCTTTCGCTTCCGGGCATGTCCACCACATATGAAAGAAGGTGCCTTGACCATGGCCACATTTCCAACAGTTGGGGTGTATATTGGGATATATCTTTGCTAGCCTAGCCGGGGCTAAATACCATCTATGGAGCATCTTATAATGATTTTTCTTGTATGTCGCGGCTCTGGTCAATTTAAGATTCTTATTCCATGCCTCTTCCCATTCATTAAAATTTATGTCATGTCCAATATTTTTCTCCCATGCACTCATTTGATTCTTTGTTATAGCCTCAGCCCTGTCTTCATCTAATAAATAATTGTATAATTTAGCCAGGATCTTTTTGCCTGTTCCCATAAGGACTTTATCCAACCCATTAAGTCCAAGTTCTAAGCCGCATTGTTCTTAATCTTTCTGATACCTGGATTTTATTTGTAAATAGGTCCACCAATCTAAAATTATTCCTTGCTCTCTCAAGGCATCATTTGTGCACTCTTTCCTAACCTAGTACTCACAAGCTGGATTGGAGTATAACTTTCATTAGGGATGGGTGTTCTAGTCTTAACTCATGGAAGGCAGCAGCTAGGGTGGTGATGGAGAAAAAGGTCACATGGAAACATCACGCACACATGTGTGCACTCATCGGGGCTGTGCTCTGGAAAAGCCGAACTTCTGGGTCCTAGCGCGCATGCGCGCCCAATGATCAGCTGGCCAGAGCGCATGCGCAGGCCAGTTTTCAGCACTGCCGTGTGCGTGAATGGAATGCTCCAGAAAAGCCAAACTTCTGGGTTTTGGCGCGCATGCGCACCCGACAATCAGTTGGCCGGTGCGCATGCACACACTGGTTTTCGGCACTGCCACATGTGCGAAGGACAGCTGACAGCTGAAGATGAACAGGCAAGGCTGCATGTGCCGGGCGACCTGGCTTTGTGTGCCACTTTGGGCACACATGCCATAGGTTCTCCATCATGGAGCTAGGGGAAACAGCATTATTTTCTGGAAACCTGGTAATTAGAAAGACCATAAAAAGGGGGCAATTGCTACTTGAATAGGATACAAAGAGATACACACATGCTTGTCCTATGTTCACACTGGAAACCAAAAGGTTTGCAATATAACTATTGCCCAGAGTTAGAAAGGAAGCAATGTATTCTGTAAGTTAATTTTATTTCATTTTTCTTTAAAAAAATTCCAATTCTGATTTAACTTTCCTGGGAAGGCCTATTGTGTACTATAATTTTAATTCTGATTGCATGGCATGTAAGTACAAAGGGGGAAAAAAATCAATATTCACTATTAATTTGGGAAGCTGTAGCATTTGTCTGCCTGAACAATGGAGACATTCTTTTCTATCTGATCACATCCCACTGCCTGACACAACATGTAATCGTTTGGCACAAAAATGTGCTGTCTCCTTTTCAAAATGCCATCCTTCAGAGTGAGGGGTGTCCAGTGAATGGCTGAACTGAAACAAGAAAAGCACTTTTTAGAAACATATCTGAGGAAACAGCAGTTTCCATTTGAATCTTATGTTGAGAAAACTCAGCGCCTCAAATCTGTTATAAATTAGATTTCTAATAACATTTTAAAAGTTGCAACTTTAAAACTCTATTATAAATTAGATTTCTAATAACATTTTAAAACTTGGTCAAAATTTTTTAACTAAGTTGATCTGAAGTGCTTTTTGTCTTCCCCAATTTTTTAACTAGAGCTTGTAAAAGTGTTGGCAAAATTAACCTTAAAAATTAATAAGGAAAATATATTTTTGCTTCAGATTTGTGATATCTTTGTAATATTTGTTTTATTGACATTTATAGACATTCTTACAGCAAGCAGCAAAACTATTACCCCAGCATCAGCCCTTCTCTAACAAAAAAACAAAATGCTTGAGATATTAGATATAGTGAACACCAGTATAAATCGATTACATTGCCACTTTCCAAATAACTAGAATTTTAGTCTCCACTGATATCTGCATTTCTCAGACCTTCTGATATAATTCTTACTTTTAAAGAGATTAACAGTATATTTTATTTTGAAGAAAATAAAATAGGAGCCTGGATAGCTCTGCAGACAAGGCACTGTAATTTAACACCAGCTGTCTACAATTAAAGTAAGTTCGAATCTTGCCAGGCTCAAGGTTGACTCAGCCTTCCATCCTTTCTAAGGTAGGTAAATTGAGGACCCAGTTGTGGAGGCAATAAGCTGACTTTGTATAAAATATATAAAAGTATGAAGGCTATTGCTTAACGCACTGTAAGCCGCCCTGAGTCTCCGGAGAAGGGCGGCATATAAATCAAATTAAATTAAATAAATGAATTAATTAATTAATTAAAAAATATTAAATATTTAAATAGAATTTCTTCAGACAGTATTTTTTAAAACATAGATTAGTACAGAAATAAACTGTCTCAAAATGAAAATGGCCAGAAATAGAGTAACAGAACTCCTAAGGGTTTTCAGCTTCAGCTTTTCAAACCTTCAACAATTAATTGCTTTATATGGTTTTTCCATCTTCTAACTAGTTGGGTAATTTATCCTCGTAATTTTTCATAGCTAGTTCAGTGTATTGGTTAACTAACCAGGTTAGAAACTGAGAGAAAGTGATCCCTAATCCTACCTTAGACACAAAGGTAGCCCTTAGGCCAGTCATTCTCTCTCAGCCCTTGGAAGAAGACTATGGTATATCACTTCTGAAATCTTGCCAAGAAATCTGCAGGGACTACTCCAGGAAGTAAACCAGAGTCAACACTGACTTGAAGGGAAAAACAAACAGAAAAACAAACAAACAAACAAACTTATTTTTGAAACTGTCAAGATGTTCCATTTGTTTCCACAACAATATACTATTACTTCTCATATACATGTTTGTTTCGGTGAATGCAAATTCTAGTTTTGAAGAATGCAAATCTGTTTCTTCTCCATAAACATATCCACATTATATTTTACATTGTTAACACAGGATCTGAGTACTTATCATTTATTGCAGAAGGAATAGAAGTACTGTACCCATTTGCAGAGGGGGAAACTCATTTTTAGGATGCTATATTGTTTGCAATTCCAACATCTCATGAGACATTTGTTCTTATTCTCATTTTACCAATGAATAAAGAGGAACTGTTGGTAACAAAAGCTGTTTAGTTAATTTCAGTGATCACATAAAATATAGCCCATGATAAAGTTTGTGGACCTCTCTTGCACAATAGAAGACAAAATAGAAGTATCAATAAATGACTATATCATCCTTATGAAATATAGAATATATTCATTTATATAAAAAAAGAAATATATATTTGTTTATATGATTTAAAAACAACATTATAAGTGTGCAACCTGAAGCCAGAAGGCCAAGTATGACCTTTCACTGTGATTGCAGTTCCTGAAGCTGTTTGTAATTTCTACCAAGTTGAAAATGTTGCATGTGGCAAAATGGAATAATTATTAAATATAGAAGAGTGATCATGTATGTGTGTATTTTAAATCTTTGTTGTAGTTATATTTAATTTAAATTAATTAAATTGAGTCCATGGTCAGCTTTGAAGCTCTTGGCATTCAGAGTCCAAAGATGGCTTCTGAATGGGGTAAAAAAAATAATTCATTACATATGTACTGCATTACAATATTTAAATAATAATCAGACATTTTTAAATTGGTCCTGATTATTTTTTGCTTTTATGTATTGTGTTAACAATAATGTAATATAAATGTAATTTTTATCTCCCTGAAGAATAATATCTTGAAAACTTGTTGAACCATTAAGTGTTTGTACAGCTTAAAGATCACACAACTTCACTGTACAACTTTTAGATCACAACCTTTTTCTTTTGTCATTTTTACAATAGTAGGTTAAGGAAACAATGTTATGAATATAAACTTGCATAGTAATCCTATGTTCTCTGGGCCAACATCTCATTAAGAATAATAGTTATATAAGAATTTCTTTTGACCTTTGACAGAAGGTCAGATTCCTTCTCATATCATATGGCTGGTCTTTTCCAAGTCCCTAATCAAAGAAGGTCTCAAAAGAAAATATAATGGGAGATGGTCAGATAGAATAAAGGATTCATGGGATCTTGGCCCATTGCACTGCTATCTAACGTTTTTATTTTATTTTATTTTATTTTATTTTATTTTATTTTATTTTATTTTATTTTATTTTATTTTATTTTATTTTATTATTTTATTTTATTTTATTTTATTTTATTATTTTATTATTTATTTTATTTTATTATTTATTTTATTTTATTTTATTTATTTATTTTGTCAAGCATATATAAGATAACAGGTAAAAGTATAAACATAATTTGAATACATGAAAAGAGTAAGTAAAAAGGAATGTTAGGACAGGGACGATAGGCACACTGGTGTACTTATGCACGGCCCTTACAGACCTCTTAGGAATGGGGTGAGATCAACAGTAGACAGTCTAAGGTTAAAGTTTTGGGGGTTTGGGGAAGAAACTACAGAGTCAGGTAGTGCATTCCAGGCATTGACCACTCTGATACTGAAGTCATATTTTCTTCAATCGAGTTTGGAACGGTTTACCTTGAGTTTGTATCTATTATTTGCTCGTGTATTGTTGTGGTTGAAGCTAAAGTAGTCATTGACAGGTAGGACATTGTGGCAAATAATTTTATGTACTAGGCTTAGGTCAGATTGAAGTTGGCATAGTTCTAAATTGTCTAAACCCAAAATTTGGAGTCTGGTAGTATAATGTATTTTATTGCAGGTAGAGAATGGAGGACTCTTCTCGTAAAATATCTCTGGACTCTCTCGATTGTATTTATGTCCGATATGCAGTGCAGGTTCCAGACAGATGAGCTGTATTCAAGAATTGGTCTAACAATGTTTTGTATGCTCTAGTTAGTAGTCCAATATTACCAGAGAAGAAGCTACACAAGATTAGGTTAACAACTCTGGGCTCTGGCATTTAGATCTTTAGAAATGAGTACTCCAAGGTCCTTGACAGAGTGAGGGTCATCTACAAAGTCATGTCCATCTAATTTGTATTTTATGTTTTGATTTTTTTTTCCCCAATGTGCAAGACAGAGCATTTGTTGGTTGAGATTTGAAGTTGCCACTTGTTAGACCAATCTGACACATAGTCAAGGTCTTTTTGAAGGGTAGTTGCATTGAACAGGATTGCTCAGTTCATCACAGAGCAAGTTAGCAAGGACCAAAATTGTAATGATTTAATTCCAATTCAGGGATGCTGATTCGGGTCAAATATTGAACTTGGTTTGTCTAAATGCAATTTATTGAACTGAGATTCAAAATAAGATTGAACTAATTTCCTAGCTCACATCAAACGTTCACTGTCTGTTTCTTCTACCATCTAATTTCCCTTTTCTGTCTTGATACAAACTACAAACTGGAACATGCTGAAGAACAGATACAAACACTTTCAAAGGAGTCAGCTTAAAATTATCCCTACATGTGGTTTGCTTAACTGATGATTAAAGCAGGGGTGTACAGGCATGTTTACTAATACAATTAGAGGGTGTCTCCTCTTCCAAGGAGGACATTAGCATTACAAAATTTAAAAAGGTGAGAGAAAAAGTTTTGATTGAATTTTAGGGAAGAGAAAGGAAGGAGAGAAAGGAAGGAAGGAAGGAAGGAAGGAAGGAAGGAAGGAAGGAAGGAAGGAAGGAAGGAAGGAAGGAAGGAAGGACAAGAAAAAAGACAAGATAGAAGAAGAAAAGAAATCAGATGTCATGACAATACAAGATATTTGTCTCTGTAGTTAGGGGGATTTTAAAGGTTGGTTTAAGCCTCTTAAGAACATGCTTTTCGGGACTACAAATATGCTGGCAGGAAAATACTCTCTCTGTGATGTAATAAGTGATTGCCATTCTTCAAGTGATTGAGGATATTCCAAACTTAACAATAAAACATTAGCTAACATGGTCTTATTTTGGCTATGAGTAGAGAACATGCTTAATCCAAATTTGGCTGCCATTACTCCCAGAGTTAAAAAGTGGCTTTCTTTCTTTTCTTATGTGCCTTTTTAACAAGGCAGAAATAGTTAAGTAACAGGAAACATAGAGGAGACTATAGATCTGAGGTACAGTGCCCCCAATGTCTCTTTAACGTTAGGGAGTGTGCAATGGCAAGAGATATTATGCCACTTAAAGCTAATCAATACATTCATGGATTATTTTATAAAGCTGGGCTTTGAGATAACCGCTAATGTTCTCAACTGTATGTTGAATTGGGACTCTTAAGATACATTTCTCTTACCTATCCCAAGTTTAAAAACAAAATTCAGGAGGGGAATACGATTTCATTGCAGAATTGAGCTTTTTCTTCCAATGTATGGCCATGATTTCTGAGGAAAGACAGTATTAAGTGGATAAAATTAGACTGCAGCAAATGAATATCTGTAAAATACACATTAATACACATTTTAGAGGTTTTACACAGTTTAATCCCTTGCAGAAAATGATCTATATCAGGGGTCTCTAACCTTGGCAACTTTAAGCCTGGCGGACTTCAACTCCCAGAATTCCCCAGCAGCTGGAGAATTCTGGGAGTTGAAGTCCGCCAGGCTTAAAGTTGCCAAGGTTGGAGACCCCTGATCTATATGACCTACACGCTAGCAGGAAAATGAATCCCTCAACTACATAAATTATTGTCAGTTTGTCAGTTTGACATCAGATTTATTTTTTATGTCAACATACCAATAAGATTTCAGTATTTGATTTTGATACCTGTTGTGACATTCATTTGATATCTGATAGTATTTTATAGCTGAGAAACCAACAGAGTTAATAGGAGATAAATTGCAGAAAGGTATGATATTTGGCTAAAATATCCATCCGTTTGGACTGTTTCCAAAGGCTCTGAGTGTATGGAATGAATAAATAGTTTCCAATAGTATGGAATTTATATACATTATAGTATTGAACTGAACTTTCAGACTGCAATTATATAACAGCAGGAAGATAATACTTCTCAAAATGAAACCTTTGAAGGCAGACAGAAATATGTTTTATCTTTAAGGAGTTTTAATCCATCCCTCCAATATTAGAGTGGTATATTTCAACCCTCCCAGGTAAACCAGATAGGAAACACAACTACAGGTAATCCTAGATGTATGATCATTTATTTAATGACAGGTCAAGAGCATCAGGAAAAAAATGACTTATGATCTCTCCTTGCACTTATGATTATTGCAATATCCTATGGTCACAGGATTGCAATTCAAGCATTTGGGTAACCGGCTTGCATTTACAACCAATTTCAGCATCCTATAGTCACATGAGGGACACAGTGGCTCAGTGGCTAAGATGCTGAGCTTGTCGATCAATAGGTTGGCAGTTCAGCGGTTCAAATCCCTAGTGCTGTGTAATGGGATGACCGCCTGTTACTTATCTCAGCTTCTACCAACCTAGCAGTTTGAAAGCACATAAAAAATGCAAGTAGAAAAATAGGGACCACTTTTAACTAGGTCTAATCAGTTAGGGCGGGTCCTTCCTAAGTTTCTTCCTCTAACTGTTAAGTCACTGGGGACTTCCATCTCTCTTGTCTGTCCATTTCCAAAGTAGCATCTCTTCCCCTTGTCTCTAGGATCATTCTCACACACCATTACAATACATTTCAGCTTCCATAAGTATATGAACAATAAAGTATTCTTATGTCTCCTCCCTTAAAAGAAAGGTTAAAATGATCTCATATCACTCAATTTATCCTCTCTACTTATCTTTTTTTTAAAATAACCCTTAATCTATACTGTTTTCATTTTATAGAAAATAAAAGGGAAGGTCAACTGTTGCATGCTTTTTAAATGATTGTCAGATTGTCCCAGTGGTGAAGTGTAAATTTTGTTATTACCGGTTCTGTGGGCGTGGCTTGGTGTGTGTGTGTGTGAGTTAATATGACTGAGTGGGCATGGTCAACTTTTTTTTTTTTTTTTTTTACTTTTAAAACCATTTTTCTACAGCCTTTCGGCTGAAGAGATTGTAAAAAGAATGCTTTTAAAGCCTCTGATGATCGCAGCTGACTTGCCTGATCAGGAGAGGCTTTTTCTTTTTTTCCTTTTTTTTCTATAACCTCTTCGGTCAAAGAGGTTGTAGAAAAAATGTTTTTAAAAATAAAAAAAAAGCCTCTGATGATTGCGCGGCTCAGCTGGGCAATGGGGGGGGGCAGGGATTTTTGCTACCGGTTCTCCGAACTACCCGCCTCCATCGCTACGGATCAGGCCATCCAGTCCAAACCGGGAGCATTTCACCCCTGGATTGTCCGATTTATTTTATGACTGGTCTCTTATAATGTTCTACAGTTCCTGATCGATAAGTCTGTATGTGAATATGGTTGTTTTTTCGGGGGGAAAAACTAAAAAGAAGTAGGCAATGATATTTCCCTTTTTTATTTTAAATTTGAAGGATACAGTATATTAGAGTAAATCTGGAATACCTCTTTGGCTAAGGTTAGCTCTGTGGTTCACAGATTGCCCTCTGCAAATTTGATTAATGCCATTTTAATACTTTTGAAACTAAGGGCTAATAGGACATCTTGTGATGGTGAATTCCAGAAATTATTTGTATAATAGATTTATTTTGTTTGTTCAAATTTAATTTGTATAAATTTCAGTAGGCAACGATATCTGTGGAGTAAGGTCAAAGAAGTGAAGATGCCAGCCATGAGTTTTTGATCAAAACTCATACATTAAAACCCATGTGGAACTTGGTTTCTTTTTATTTACTTATTTATTTATTTATTGCGATTTATATGCCGCCTTTCTCCCTAGGGACTCAAGGCGGCTTACAAAATGACAACTTCAATACAAATCACAATACAAATTAAAATCAGTAACCCAATTAAAAAACGATTTAAAATTATACCAGTGTACCCCCAAACGGATCAGTTTAATTGGCGGAAGAGCCACGTCTTCAGCTCACGACGGAAGGAAAGAAGGTCGGGGGCTGTCCTGAGCTCAGTGGGCAATCCATTCCAGAGGGTCGGGGCTCCCACAGAGAACGCCCTCCCCCTGGGGGTCGTCAGCGACATTGTTTGGCCGACGGCACCCTGAGGAGGCCGACTCTGTGAGAGCGCACAGGACGATGGGAGAACGGCTGGAGATGGTCCTGCAAGTATCCTGGGCCTAAGCCATGAAGGGCTTTATAGGTGAGCACCAGCACCTTGAAACGTATCCGGAGTGCCACCGGTAGCCAGTGCAGCTCACGCAGGAGAGGTGTTACACGGGAGTATCTGGACGCCCCCATAACTACCCGCGCGGCTGCATTTTGGACTAGCTGAAGCCTCCGGACACATCCCAAGGGCAGCCCCATGTAGAGGGTGTTACAGTAGTCCAACCTAGAGGTAACAAGGGCGTGAGTGACCGTGGCGAGGGCATCCCGGTCTAGGAACGGGCGCAACTGGCGCACAAGACGGACCTGTGCGAAGGCCCCCCTGGTTACGGCCATCAGATGGTCATCTAAAGACAGCCGAGAATCCAGGAGGACACCCAAGTTGCGGACCCTATCGGAGGGAGCAAGGGTTTCCCAATAAGGAGTTTTAATGCAAGACTCGGGTCTAGGATGCCAGTGGTGGGTTTCAAAATTTTTTACTACTGGTTCTGTGGGTGTGGCTTGGTGGGCATGGCTTGGTGGGCATGGCAGGGGAAGGATACTGTAAAATCTCCATTTCCTCCCCACTCCTGGGGGAAGGTTACTGCAAAATCCCCATTTCCTCCCGATCAGCTGGGACTCGGGAGGCAGAGAATAGATGGGGGGCAGGGCCAGTCAGAGGTGGTATTTACCGATTCTCCAAACTACTCAAAATTTCCACTACCGGCTCTCCAGAACTGGTCAGAACCTGATGAAACCCACCTCTGTAGGAAGAAGAATAATTTAAACCACAATAGTAATGTCCAGCCTTCTTAGTAAACTCAAAAAGTGATGCCTGTTTGAATGTTTTAAGTCTCTTTTTCTTGACCTTTATTCTTTATAAACTACTGAACAACTTTGTATTTGGATTCTTTATGCCTAGAATTAATTCTTCATCGTTTTTTTTTTCAGCATCCCCCAAATCTCTCAAAGTTAGTGTTTCTGGGGTCTCAGCTGCTAACTTTAGTCTTCCTTTAAGATTACCAGGACAATAACAGTAGGATAAGCCTATAAATTTGACTCTATAAACTATCCCAAACAATCACTTAATCAATTCAGGAGAGTTTGATTTATCGCCAAATAGACCAGACTTTGTTTGGGATTAAATTTACCTTACTAAATATCTTATTATAAGACCTGGAAAACATTTTTTTTAATTCCTCTCCTCCTCTTTAAAATATATGAAAAATAACATTTTATTAAAAGTTTTAAAAAAGGAAAATTAATACAAAAGAAAAAAGAAAAAGAAATAAACCAAAGAGAAAGCTAAAAGTGCAACAAAGAACAAAAGTAAAAGTCACTTTATAGGGAAGATGGGCGGCATAATGAATAAATAATAAAGAAATAAATAGAAAAAAGCTCGCAAGAAGTCACTTCCAATTGCCTTTACAGCTGTTATAAGTACAATTATAAATTTACCTCTTTCTTTGAAGTTACATGACTCTCTTCTTTCTTATCATCAAAATGATACATCATTTCATTTTTTTTCCATTTTACACAAAAAAGATCATAAACTGTTTGATAACAGCCAACAGCTCAACCTTTTTCACCTACAGACATGTCTGTCAACTCCCAGTTTTGCTTAAACAAATACTGTATGTTTTGCTACCTCTACAATGATATTATAGAGCAATGAGAATGGCTATTCATTATGTCACAGTTTCCCCAATCAAACTAGGGTTTGATTTTAAAACAACCTTCAGGAGAACATGCTGTTTCTCTATATACTATATGGTTATGTTGCTGCAGGACAAGCCAAAATATATGGATTCCATTGAATAGTTGTAAAAATTAAAATTGTATCAGATGTTCTATCCAATGCTTTGGAAGTTCTACCAACTTCTAACTGGAGGTTTGTTCTCCTAAATAAACACTCAACCTTTTTTCTAGTTCCTCATTCTTGCCTTTCTCAGTGTTTTAAATCTCTGGATTGTAATTATATTGTCACATGGTGGCAGATTTCATCTCAAAAATCAGAGGAAACCAATTCTAAATCGTGGAAATTGTAGCTCTAGGTTCTCATGAATTTTCTTGAGGTTTCAATTCAACCTCACTGCGGCCTTAGAAATTTGCTGCCAAATTATAATTTTAAATATGTCAAAAGGGGAAAATATTAGCCTTATAGGGGTAATCATAATATATATATATGTATATATACCACAATCACTATAAATATAGGTTATTTAATTTAAACACAGTTTAAAAACAGAAGGCTTTATTTTGATGCCATCTGCCTACATTTTAGGGCACAGTTTCTGCATGGTTTCTGAAAGGACAAATGCAGGTTGATCTCTGAAACGTGGGAAATCCCACTGTAAAAATTCACATCTCTTTGCGCTGAAGTGTGATGCAATGTCATATCATAATGATGTTGGCAGAAATGAACTCGAGTAATCCCTACCTATCCTTAATAGGCTCAACAGCTAATGGCCCCTGGCCAAATATTGGCTAATCTATGAAGTTAAGCAAGGTTGACTCTTGCTAGTACTTAGATTCTGCCTGGGAATTCCTGGGTTAGAATAGGAAGTTGGGGTGGGGGAACCCCACAGAAAAAGCCAGTGGAAATAATCCCCTAACTCTGCCAACAAAATTGCACCGGTATTATCACCAGGAACCAAATTTAACTCTAGAATGTTTTATTTTTTCCTTTTCCTTTTTCATTCCACTAGATTCAGGAATGTCTGAATGTGAGATAAATAATCTGTATGCTTTCATATTCAGTTAAGAAAAACTACTTTGCAAACAGGAAACTGAAGGGTTTTATTTATTTAAAAAAATGTCCTAGAACCATGATGGCAAACCTATGGCATGCGGAGCCGTATCAGTGGGCACACGAACTCAGCTCTGCCAGCTGATTTTCGGGCCTTCCAGTTCCACCGGAAGTTGGCAACAGGCCATTTCCAGCCTCCAGAGGGCCTCTGGGGGGGTGGGGAATGCTGTTTTCACCATCCCCAGGATCCTAGAAAGGCTCTGGAGCCTGGGAAGAGCAAAAAATGGGCCTTCTGGTCCTACCAGAAGTCGGCAAATGGGCCTACCAGGCCCACCATGCCAAAAGCAGAGGGAGCCTGAGGGGATTGCGCATGGATGGGGGCGCACGCATTGAATTATGGGTGTGGCCACGCGCATGCGCGACCACCCTGCATCCTCCCTGCTTTTGGCACGCGATGGCAAAAAGGTTAGCCATCACTGTCCTAGAAGATATCTTAACAAAAATCTGAGAAGAAAGAAAGGTTGAGAAAATGGGGAACAAAAACGTATTTCAGAAGAGAGAGAGATCGGTAGCATTTCTGTCCTAGTCCAGCACTGAGTGAAGCCTAGTGTTGCATTCCAATCCAGGAATGCGTAGCCAGAGACAACTTTAATCACTCATTTGGTTGTCACTTAATTACAGGACTCTGCACCCTCTGAAGTTTTTGCTTTAAAAACTATTCTAAATTATATCCTTTTCTAAGTTGCTCTTCTTGCTTAGGTGCCTGCTTTTCTCCTTTCTACTAAATAAATCTTACTGCTTTTTAATTCTCATACGTTAGTAGATGAACGCTGCCCTGCCTTGTTTCTGGGGACTTGAGAGCTGGAGGGCACACTAGAAAAATTTTGGAACTCTATCCAGAGCCACTATCAAATGTTCTAGCTACAACATACCATTGCTAGTGCTTGGAGCTTGGGCAGAGATTTCCTGTCAAGTGATTTAATTCTGCGCTATGGCTAAGTACTTTTTCCTAAACTAGGCCTCCTAGCAGTTCCCAGCCCATCTTTTACGGTAGTATTTGTACCTTTTAGACAATATTCCGGCTGGTCCAGATGTCTAGCTCAGTCCTGTTCCATATGTCATCCAGTCACATGTTTGAATCTAAATGAAGCTGAATGTGCTCTCTTTTTCCTCTTCCTATATAACGTCGTAAGTCTGGAAGTGCCACATTCCTGACCTCTGATTAAACAGCAATCTGAACACGCAGACAAGTCCATGCAGCAAAAAATAATTACTTTAGAATTTTTTTGCATCTTTTTTACATCCTAGGTCATTCCTTGTCCCCAGTTCCAACAAGGTAGCTTCACTTGTTTTAGATTTAACTTCACAATCAGGCCAGTGAAGTTGTTTAAGATACGTTAAATCCCCTTCATTCTTTTGTTATTGGAATACATTGACTGTCAAGGGCAAGCTACATATTACATCGGAATCCCATTAACTATAACTTTTTTTTTTTTGATTCTGCAAGTTTAGTTATCAATGGAAGAGGATCTTTGGACAAGACAACAAGAGTTACAAGAGAACGAATAGGGCAGGGGTCTGCAACCATAAACACTCAAAGAGCCATTTGGACCCGTTTCCCACAGAAAAGAAAACACCGGGAGCCACAAAACCCTTCCCGTTCCTGACTATTTCTTGAGCGGCCACAAAACTAGCATAGTTGAATTAAACGTTCATTTTCTTCTGAAACTTTTCTTGGATTTATTCATGGTTGGCCTACCGGGGGTTGAAAAGCACAATAAATCGCTTGCCGGCAGGTGTCACACATTGGCGGTTGTGACACATATTTTGAGTGACAGGGAGCCGCAGCAGAGGAATGAAAGAGCCACATGCGGCTCCAGAGCTGCAGGTTGCTGACCCCTGGAATAGGGTCATACTTTGCACCAGACACAGTAGCCTGGACCAAATTGACCTTCTTGCTGAGATAGATAAAGAGCAAATGTTCTGCAGAAGGTTTCATTATTTGTCTTTAGACTTGAAAAGAATCTTATTCAGAAGTCATGGAGGGCTGTTGCTAGTGAGATCCATTACAAACCCTTTTTATCGTTTTAGCAACCCTCCCTTATTATCTTGCCAAAACTACATTAGCCAATTACCAAACATGGGGGAATGCAGTTTCCTAGGGACTTCCAGCCAATATGAGGTGTTAAACTTTTGGAGAGTCTTAAAGGTTCCCCTTACACATATGAGCTAGTCGTTTCTGACTCTAGGGGGCGGTGCTCATCTCTGTTTTAAAGCTGAAGAACCAGTGCTGTCCGAAGATGTCTCCGTGGTCATGTGGCCAGCATGACTAAACTCCAAAGGTGCACGGAACGCTGTTACCTTCCCACCAAAGGTGGTCCCTATTTTTCTACTTGCATTTTTTATGTGCTTTCGAACTGCTAGGTTGGTAGAAGCTGGGACAAATAACGGGAGCTCACCCCGTTATGCAGCACTAGGGATTCGAACCACTGAACTGCCAACCTTTTGATTGACAAGCTCAGCATCTTAGCCACTGAGCTACCACGTCCCTCAGACACAATAGCCTTGGCCAAATTGACCTTCTTGCTGAGATAGATAAATGTTCTGCATTGGTTTCATTGTTTGTCTTCAGAATTGAAAAGAATCTTATTCAGAAGTCGCCTTTTTGTTGTTTTAGCAACCCTCCCTTATTATCTTGCCAAAACTACATTAGCCAATTACCAAACATGGGGGAATGCAGTTTCCTAGGAACTTCCAGCCAATATGAGGTGTTAAACATTTGGAGAGTCTTAATGAAAGAAATCATAGAATTGTGGGAAAGATTGGAAAATCTACCCTAAAAATATCCTAAAATAAGGCAAAAGCATGGCAAAGTGGTTATTAATCCACGAAATTGCCAGGAGTCATATCAACTTTCATTGTGGAAAGACTACTGAGCTATATGGAACAGGCTTTTTTTCTTTCTGTGGTTAAGAAGAAGTTGTGGGATTTATAATAGGTTCCCATCTCCTTAGCAAAAGTAGACAGTATTTGCTTTGTCAAAGGAACAGATTTAAGATAATGCGGTACATCAAGAAAGTTATATCTAGGGTGCTTTATCACAGTGGCCTATTAATGCCTTTACACTGTATTGCAGATAGATTTGTGACCCACAGCAGAATATTCATAGAAATAAATACATGCTTTCCAGCAGTGGTGAAATCCAATTTTTTTTACTACCGGTTCTGTGGGTGAGGCTTGGTGGGCGTGGTGTGGCTTGGTGGGCGTGGCAGGGGAATACAAAATCCCTATTCCCACCCCACTCCAGGGTAAGGATACTCCAAAATCTCCAAAATCTCCATTCCCACCTCACTCTGGGGCCAGAGGTGGTATTTGCTGGTTCTCTGAACTACTCAAAATTTCTGCTACTGGTTCTCCAGAACCTGTAAAAACTTGCTGAAAAGCATCCCTGCTTTCCAGTGAGCAATATGTAATGCTGCTTAAATATTCATTTAGTTAAATGCTTCACTAGAAACCAGAACTGCATTGTCATGTGAAACTACCATCAAGATTCATTTGGGACGTATTTAATATATCTTCAGGGAAGCAGGGAAGTTTTATTGTGCATCTATGTTTGCAGGAGAACTAGATGATATTTTTTCATGTATGCAAAATATTACACTTTAAATATTGTCCTTCTATCTATTTAAGGGGCAAACAATACATTGTCATAATAAGACACATTTATCTTCTCAAGTTTGTGTGAGCTTATAACTTTGGGGAGCTATTTATCATCATCACAGTTTATGAAAATCCTTTGTAGCTTTGCCATAAATCACAAGAAAGGAGGATATGTATGACTTCTATTTAGACAAGAGCCCTTGACTGGATTCTCTTGGGAGAATCTTCCCAAGAGAATCTGATCTTCTAGTGGTAAGAAAATTCTTTGACATCTCATACACAGTGCAACATGAACAATATATTATTCCAGTTGCCCACTAAGACCCATTTTTGATGGCTCTGGTACTGGGGGCAATGACGAATTTTCTCACTCAAACAAGGCTCTACAGAAATTCACCATAATCACTTCTGCCTCTTACAGCAGCCGTCAGCTATTTTATTAAAGTACAGCTTAGAATGCAGGTGTCAACAACCTTCTTAGCAATTGACCAACTGTCTCCCATAAGTGTTTTGGGGAGTTGACTAGTTAGCAAAGAGAAAAACATGTAAATGAAGATTTTTTAAAGCAAAACAAGCATTTTGTCAAATATAGCATTGAAAACCACATTTCAGTATAATTAATGAATTAATTCACCTTATTATCCACTCTTTAACAAACACAACAGCTTGAAATAAATAAAAATCACCTAAAATCCCAATAACATAGATTCTAGATTTTATTTTTATTACGTAAGAAGCCTACAGAGTATAGCAACCACAAAACCACACCTGTTAACAGATTCCTCCTTGTTTCGAGACTATATTATCAATATACCAAGCTTGCTTTACTTAGCCAAGAAGCCATATCAGATCCTACTATTGTCTGCCTGCATTTTAGCAAATTTTACATTGCCCTAAGGGAGCTTGCACACACTTCCTTTCAACAAGCACAATAGGATTTTTGTTTCCCCAGGCTTGCCTCTAGCAGAGTTCTTCTTGAGTTGCTGTCTAAAAGGCTTTATTGGTAATTCACCTCAGGAAAATACTGCTTATTTCTATGCCTTCACAACAGTTTGTGGAACTGAGTGTACCTAATGGGCATATTCAAGACGTTTGTTAGGGCCTTGCCTAACATCCATGCTCCAATATGTTTCTCCTTTCAACATTCACATTCAGTAGAAGGAAATCCATGATTTTGCCTGAAAACATTAACTCAGATTGCTCGTAGCAGTTAAAACAAACTGTAGTAACATTAAAAGAAGAAGCTTCTTATTTCATGTTATTGCTGTCCACTTAAGGAAGTAGCTCAGCAGGTAGAAACAACTAGCTCAAAAACTCAGAAGAGATGGCCCAGATAAGTACTTTGATGGGAGGGCTGATTGTTAACTCCAGGGACTGTTAGCTAGATTGTAAAGTTAAAATAAAAACAAGAAATTCCTATGATAAGGCAGTGGCAAACCACTTCCAATTGCTACAAAAAAAAAACCTGCATGAAGATTGAGCTTGACATGGGGATGTCTCTACTTTACTCTGTCTAAGAAGGCACTGTTGGCTTTAGTCCTCCAATTCAGTGGTGGGTTTCAAAGTTTTTTATTACTGATTCTGTGGGTGTGGCTTGGTGGGCGTGGCATGGCTTGGTGGGCATGGCAGAGGAAGGATACTGTAAAATCTCCATTCCCACCCCACTCCAGGGGAAGGATACTGTAAAATCTCCATTCCCTCCCCAATCCAGGGGAAGGTTACTGCAAAATCCCCATTTCCTCCTGATCAGCTGGGACTTGGGAGGCAGAGAATAGATGGGGGTGGGGCCAGTCAGAATTCTCCAAACTACTCAAAATTTCCGCTACCAGTTCTCCAGAACTGGTCAGAACCTGCTGAAACCCATCTCTGCTCCAATTCAAGGATGGCAGGCAGCATGATCGTTTAATTTAACTGATCTCTTTTACTCTGAACTACTTCTTTACCATCTGTTCTCCTGTATAATTATGAAAGTTAAGAAAAGAGAACACTTTAACACTGTCATAGCTCAGATGTCCAATATAAAGTCACTTTAAATGTATGTGGATTGTCTATACCAGGCAGAATCCACCTGCAATGTTGGCTTTGTGATTTATATGTGATTTAAAATAATTGGAAATGTGTGTCTTAGATTCTCTTTATTAAAACCCACTTTGTCTGCAGAGCTCAGGACTTCATTGCGTAAATATTCTTGGACCTGTGTAGATGCATATGTTAGTAAAATGGGAATGCCTTCCTCCCAATCATTTTTGGATCATTTGTTTAGCCTCTTTATCAAAAAACTAGCTTATTGAAACATGCGAACTCTAACCCTATATTTCCTGTTCTTTAATGGGTAGCAGTACAATTTAAATTCCCTCTCCTGGAATCAATTATTTATTATTTTCTAGCATCATTTAAATAGAACATCCTGAGGATGTATGTGTATTGGGAGTGGAAGGAAGAGAGATTGACTAGCATGTGTCTTTGTGTGGGCATTTAAAATTCT